CATCGGTGTATAGGACGCAAGCAGATTTTGACATCAAATTTTGGGGTAAAAAAGTGCGTCTTATACACCGAAGAATACGGTATTCTATTTTAGGCTATCTCTAAAACAGTATTATTACTGGAAGGGTTGTTGCTTACATCTACCGTAATTTTTCGAATATAATACGCATTTCTTTCATAAAAAAATATTTAGAAGTTAAGGTGCGTATAATGTACGGTAACAAATCAATTTTTTATTTTTACAACTGGTCCAGACTACCTTTTTCGAAACGCGTTGTGAACGATAACACATACTTATTAGAAATGTTGCGTTTCGATATGTCTTATTAATTCTCTCTGTTTGTAAGGCATAAGTGAGAATTGTCTCATTTGAGATGCTCTAAAGGTGCTACTGGGATCCAAATCTTTTGTGGTATGATGGGCTTTCAAACGAGTTTCCACGGTGGTGACTGCGCATCCACTTGCTCGACATTGGTGGTTTTATCCTAGAAGTTGAGGAAATGTTTCAGAACAAACTACCAGTACCCCGTTTTAGAAAAGTTGTTGCAGAAGACCATGATTATTCATGAACACCGTGCTTGTGCTGTAAATGGATTTCTAAGAACATGTATTTGAAAGATAGCAAGCGCTAAGGCGAGCTCGCTTTTAGTGATTTTACAGACACTAACATTTTGACAATGTTTATTTGCCGGGCACGATTTCAAATATAGCAAACACTACGGCGAACACACAATTACAGATTATACGGCACTCTAAAATTCTTGTCATCAAAGGGTTAATTTGACCGGAGTATTGCAAAATACTAGGTGAGTATTATTTCTGGTGATAAAGCAAATTTGTCTCTTTGTTCGTGCGTATTATATTTGGAAGCACATTATATTCGGAAAATCACGGTAGTAATGCTTGAGTGGTAAATTCTAGCGCTTGAATTATAGAAAGGATTTATTTGCTTGTGGTTTTATGTTATTTTTCTGTAAAAACTAACTCAGAATAGGCACTTTGAATATCTCAGGATTGGGCAACAAGGTAATGAAAATTATTGATAATATGGAACAAAGGTATATCAAAGTTTTGGATTAACAGATGTACGATGGAAAGGACAAGGAACAAAGAAAGTGAATAAAGATTATGTGCTGATATATTCAGGAGTAAGCATAAAAACATGGAGTTAGTTTTATAATCAACCCAGAAGCAGCTCGAAATATTTCGGAAATCAAATACATCTCAGAAAGAATGGCCTCAGTAAGAACACAGAAACATGTTTACAAATATGTGCACCTTGCGATGGAAACTACTCAGAGGAACAACTAGATGAGTACTCTGATGAAGTACATGACCAACTCTCAAACGCCAATCCAACTGACAGACTTTTGTAATTGTAGATTTTAATGGAAGACTAGGAACGAATAGAACACCCTTCGAGAAATACCTAGGACATCACGGCGACAAATGCTCAAGTGGAAAAAGGATCCTGAAAATCTGCTCCCAGAATAATTGTTTATTAGAAACACTTTTCACTTGCAAAGAGAATCCAAGATTTATACATGGTATAAATGGAATGACTTGACAATGAGAAGCCAAATTGAATTTATACTAACAAGGACAAGTGATGACATCAAAGTTTGTGATTCTAGAGCAATACCAAAATACTGTTATAGGTACAGATCATAAAAATGGTAATGTTGACCATGAAAGAACCAACAAAAGCTGGAATAAAGAAAAGAAGGATAGTAAAAGAAAAATAATAAACACGAGAAAATTAGCAGAAAAAGAAAGCCAAAATCAACTTCAACAAGAAATCGAAGAAGAATACCATACTCTTCCAACAGGAAAAGTACAAGAGGAATGTAATAGGTTAAAAAATATAGTTGTGAAATATGCTTCGGACATTTGTGGAAAGAAAGTGAAAGAGAAACCAGGGCAAAAGATCTCACCTTGGTGGAAAAGAAAAACGCCTTCTTTGTATGACTAAAAGATAAAACTGAAGAAAAGTACATCAACTACTACAGAATAGCAAGGAGAGAGAGAGAGCAACAGAAAAATAAAGAAGGCCAACGAAAAATCATGGGAACAATTTGGAGCAGACCTAGTGGTAGAGGAGAGAAAAGCAGTCGGAACTTTCTACAAAAAAGTTAAAGCAGTATGGTATGGAAGCGGGAAGCAGATTGTAACCGAACTGAAATCATCAATGATAAATATAGTAAAGCCATACTTGATAGTGACATGGTACTCGACAGATGGAGAGATTGTTAAAGTGATTTGCTCAACCTAAATGAATCAACAGATTGCGGAGGAGAACAGAAAGCTCATAGGTAAGTCTGATGGGTTATAACGCTAAAAAATCGGATTTTGATACTCGCGATAAGCAGGGCACAGATAGTTAAATTTGTAGCTTTGTGCTTAACAACAAACAAACATTCAAAATGTAATTTTAAAAGCTAACTCTAAAAAGAAACAAACTGATTATAACATTTGACTGACTTTCAAGTGAAACTCACTACTGTGACATCATCTTAAAGAGTGTACATGGTTATCACATTTTGTTGTAGAAATATTTTAATATTTTTTAAACTTATTGTTGTGTGGGCAGGTGGACCATCAAAATATTTGTTTATTTTTATCAGTGGCTTTAGAAGGTAACTCGGATGGGGAAAAGTGTTTATTAAAACAAAATCTATTATCATCCCATCCAGTAACGGATACCACGGGTTAGATTTATAATAATTACCATGCTAAACAACAAGTGAATGTCTTTTAATAATCTACCGGACAAAATAAACTTTTATTCAAGAACAACTGAACTTTGCAGACTTTATAAAATGTGTAGAAATACGAAACCTGAGTAGTAATTATTATTAATACACTAAGTACGACATCAATACCTGTATTTATTTATTTTTTGCAACAGGAAAAACAAATTCGAAAATAAAACATCTGAGAAAGAAACAAGACCAAAGAAATTCCAATATTTTTACATCTTTAATTGTTGTAATGTTTGGAATATACACCATAAAGTAAAGATTATTTTTACCACATTATAGCTTTAAGAAACATTATTTACTCCGCTCATCAAAATAGCCAGTTGGTAACAATCACATATAGTTTTTTTTACGTTTAATACAAAAAAAGGAAAAAATACTTGAAAAGCTAAACTCAGTCACAGTTCGTTTGGTTGGTCATGATAAGTTTATTTGAATTAATGCCATTGGTATCAAGGAAGTTAAATAGCTTATTGGTGGTTTCTTGAGGAAGAGTCCTCTGTCGGGCTAAAATCCAGCAAGACTCTGAGAATTAAGAAAAATTATAATAATAAGTAACATTGTTCGAAAAGGTGATTTATCATATCAAATATGCAAAATTATTTAAATCTCATGAAATATTACAAAATACATTCAATATCAGTGTATTTAAGTTATCATAGAATATAAAAAGCCCGTAAGCTCAAACTGGCTGCTACAATGCTAAACAACGTAAGGTTGTAGTTGGAAAAGATCTTAAAGTCAACACATTGTTAAACCCTTTTAAAAATATCTCGTAATATACATAAAGCTTGAATACGTAGGTGGTTTTGAGTTCTGCGTAGATTAACCTGATATTATGGCGTGATTGGTACTTTGGCTAATCTCATAACAAAAGCAATGTGTATATAGAAAAAGAAGACCAGTGAGTGAGTGAATAAGCACTGATCCTAATTTCAAATAACTCTGACAATAGTTAAGCTCTAAAAATTTATATTCTACAGTTTCTTATGGTGCTGGTAATGAGAAAAAAAATAAGGTTTCTGATTCGAATATTTTCTAACGAAGTCTAAGTTTAATTGAAAACCCACAGCCATTAAAAGCGAAGTATATTGTTACGTCTCTGGTCGTTTGTTAATTTCCCGTAAAAATTCTTCCCGAGGAACTTCAGTGATACAAGTCCTTTCTTAAATAAAACTAGTTTATTCTTTCTCAATATAACTTTGCAACCATCTTCATCTTCAATCTGTCTGTATAAGAAACGCAAATAACAACAACATATTTACAACAGTTTAGACTTTTGGTATTTGTTTTCCATAAACTAAATAAGTTTACGTGTTTAAGTATTTTCATATATTTATTTATATGTGTTCTGTCAATAGGTAATAATTACGTGTATTTTTGACAATGTCTGTGTAACAATTCTATGTTTGTTGATACAAAACCTCGTATTCTTCAGCTGTGTCAAAATATTGATGGTTAATTCAGCTTATGTAGTTAGCAGTTGTGAAGACTACCTAACGTTCTGAATTAACGGCTGTCCATAAAATCTCTGGTTGGCTAAACCAGATGACGTCGTTGATTTCCCCGTT